CTTAAAAGAATATAACAAAATCCTGTCTAAATTTTGATTGTGGCCTTAACTTTGATCTTTTCCTTGACTTTGATTTTGGCTGTTTTCTTCTCATTGACTTTGATATTGAATTTAATTTTGACTTTGATACTGAATTTGATATTAACTTTGCTTATGACTTCGATATTGACTTACATTCTGGGATCCACTGGTTGAGCAGACCGCTGACACCCTTGGTGGCTGTCAGAAGAATCTCTGTGACCTCATTGTAGGTTCGGACTTCCTCTGAAAAAAGAAAAAAAACAATAAATAACAGTATTCAACATAAAGTCATACTCAATAATCGCTAAAGGGGTAGACAGAGGTCCACATGCACAATGTGACGCTCACTTTTCACTATTTATGTTATGAGTCCCATGTAATAGGGGGTGAGTCTATTGCCATATACCGGACACAATTCCAGACTCCATGTTATTGCTGACAAATCATAGAAACTTTGCCTGTCTCAGGATCGAAGCTAAAGAACTGGGTGCGTACTCTTGAAACCAATCTCAATGTCAATGCAATTACAATCCAATAAAATCTCAATAATTATTCAATGTCAATACTTTACAACCATAATCGTAGCTGTTACAATAGCATTCAGAGTACGGAATATAAAGACAAACTCAATACCATTTAGTTCATTCAATATCCACGCAATACGGATGCAATGGGCGCTAGTGTTGCAACTCAAGAGTACGACACAATATCAATGTCGATCGATCGGAATTGGATTCGAGAGTAAGCAAGCTGGCTGTAAGAATAGTATCGATATGATGATGAACTTACTTCTCCCGGCAATCCATTTGAAGGCTTTATATGAAGGAGAACTGTGATCTGTAAAGAGAAACAATTTCAATTACATTATGATGTAGTATAATAATAGCCTGTAACACTGAACCGACTCGGGATTCGAACCCAACACCAACGCAGGCGAGTCTAGCGTGCCGGCAGTGTCGCGCGAGTCGTCGTCGATACCACAAATAGAGGATAGTGCGCGTGAATCACGGCAAAGGGCGCGCTGGGCGCAGACTCGAGTAGCCAATAACAGCGACAGTCGCCGCGTCACGGTTCGCGAAATGCTGCTCATGAATATGAGCCTCTAGCATGGCTTGAAACTAGTCGAGCTCCTCCTCGAATTACTACGTGAGTAAGCCGAAAACGTAATAATTTATTTAGTATCTCTCATTAGATTATTTTTCTTAATATTACTATGACTTTGTTCCATACAAACTACATATTAGAAGGTATTTAAAAAAGTAACTCACCAAGAATTCCTCTCGCGAAGAATCCTGCAAAAGAAAAAAATAATAAAAGATTAAATTATAACAATAATAAAAATATGATCCCCGAAGGGGTAGGCAGAGGTTTACATTACGGCACTTAATGCCAATGTACAATGTAACACCCACTTTTCACTATTTATGTTATGAGTCCCATGTAATAGTGGGTGAGTCTATTGCCATATACCGGGCGCATTTCCAGACTCCGTGCTACACCTGAGATTTTTTTTAAAACCTAGTAATTCGTTGCCCGACCCGGGACCGAACCCGAGACCCCTTGCCCGGCAGTCGCACTTGCGACCACTCGGCCAACGAGGCAGTCATTAATAAAATAAACATATAATAAATATAAGCAAAGTAAAAGGATCAAAGCATACGAACTAGTAAAGAGATTGTATATTTACCTGCACTCACGAAGTTCGCCTTATCAGCCTAGAAATATATAAAACATTTTTTTAACATGTTAACACGGTCGTTTTTAATGAATATACTAAGTATTAGAAAACTTAAAAACCCTCAGAGAGTTTACCTTACTTTTGATATTAGAAACTTATTGGTTATAAACCAAATCGGATTTTAAAAACACAGACGGCGGGGAAATTGTGATACAACCACTCCAATGCACTTATATTGTTAACATCGAAATCAAATAGCTAAACTATTACTATTAATTGGAAAGGAAAACAACAACAATACACTATATAGGCAAATTGACTTTCAAATAGATTTAAATACAAAATACGCCGTCTTAATAACTCGCGAGTTCCCGCCATCTTGAATTTAATTTCTCGAACCACAGATTAAAATTTCCCGCTATGCGTAGACATTTCTTTTTTTTTGTCTATGCTTCTAACAATAATATGTTTGTTGTCTAGTTTTCAACTGTCGTAAGGATAGTTTTCAAACAAATATAGGTAAATTGGGATGATGACGGAATATAAAAATTAAAATCTAATTAGTCCGTAACTTAGATAATGAAAAAATATTAGACACTTTTTTTTTTATTTTGTCGTATAATAAAACAATACTTGGACAAAACGAATCAAAGTTTAGGAGTGGTGGCTAAAACCGAACGTCATGTCTACGTATAAAATGTACATACATAGAAGTGACGTCACGCGACATTTCAAATAAATATATCTTCAAAAGTATTCGTTATTGTAAGAAAATAAAAAATACGTGTCTAATGATTTAAAATAATCTACCAGATGGACATTAAAATAAAAATTAGGCATCTACACTATTTGAATCATCATCATCGTCATGATAATATCCAGCCACAGGACGTCCAATGCTGAACATAAATAATTTAAACATAAATTTGAATACATACCTCCAAATGGCCGGTAACTTTCCCGACCAATTCGGACACAGATTTGACGGTGCCACCGGCAACCTTCTTCACTGTCTTGGTAACTCCCCCCACAAGTTTACCGACAGTGTGTCCGGTGTTCTCCAGGACCCATGGTAGACCCTTCAGGTGCCGCTCTAGCTTTTTATGGTGTGTATGGTGATGCGGTGTGGCCGCTACAATCGCCAACTGTATGTAAGAAAAGAGAATCACATCATTATTTATTTATATTATATTTATATCTTTACTAGCTGACCCGGCAAACTTCGTACCTCCTAAAAGTTTTTTCTCACCTTTTAAACCTTCCCTAGACTTCCACGAACCTATCAACCTATCAAGACCAAAATTAGCCAAATCGGTTCAGCCATTCTCGAGTTTTAGCGAGACTAACGAACAGAAATTCATTTTTATTTATATAGATGATAATTATATATTTCTTCTGTAAGTGTGTATGTCACTGAACTTCTCTCAAACGACTGGACCGATTTTGATGAAATTTTTTGTGTGTGTTCAAGGGGATCTGGGAATGGTTTAGATTCACAAATCAGCCCGGCAGATGGCGCTGCAGTCGGTGTCTTTTTTTTTTAAGGGTAAAATTCATCGAATGACTGCTCCCGCCTGGGTGAGGCGGAAGGGAGTGTCAGACTCTTACTGACTAAAAACCAACCCGTTCCTACTCCTGCACTTCGAGCCGGAGCCCCGGTAACCTGTTAGGTTCTCCGCGACCTCGTTTACCGGCTAACCCAAAAAATAAAATCCTTACTAATATTATAAATCGGAAAGTGAGTTTGTTTGTTAAATAATAGGGTACTTTTTAACCCGGAAAAATTAGATATTCTCGAGGGAAAACGAAATTATTGGTATAGATGGCGCTGTGTGTATTGGTATATGTCACATAGGCTACTTTTTATTCTTTTGTGACGCGAGCGAAGTCGCGAAGCTAATAAAAAATAAGAAAGAAGGACTTACCAAGGCGATTGTAACTAGTATCTTTACAGACACCATAGTTGTGTCCAGTAAATTAACTGGAGATGGTCTTCTACGGCCAAACTCCAACTATACTCCACTAATCACCACTATTGGTTTATATACCAAATCAAAATTATACACAAAACAAAAAAATGTACCCCAATGTTTACACAATTGTCCGAATTACGTACCAACTTATTTGTATAATTATTGTTACAAATTTGAATAAATCTTTAATTGTTATATTATTACCTTCGAATTTCAAATATTTGTTCAACAATAAATTTTTATACGACATCTGTACAAATAACGGTATATGAAATAACAGATTTTGTATAAACTGATTTTAAATTAAACAATTACCTATGATTTATTGGTTTTCGAATTTTCTGTATAGGAAGTCGTGTTATATCGAAGTAACATAACATCACGCCTTTTTATATCCGTAGGCAGAGGTGTACATTACGGCACTTAATGCCACTGTACAATGTAACACCTACTTCTCACTATTTATGTTACGAGTCCCATGTAATAGAGGGTGAGCCTATTGCCATATACCGGGCATAATTCCAAACTCCGTGCTTCTATTGAAATTTTTTTAATAACCCAGTAATACTTTGCTCAACCTGGGAATGGGACCCGAGACCCATGCCCGGCAATCGCACTTGCGACCACTCGACCATCGAGGCAGTCCATAAAACCTTAATAGAAAATTATTAGCATAATACTAATATTATGATATTTAATTTTCTAATGACTTTAAATAAGCATTGCCTGTTAAAAGCTGTAACATATAACAAATGCATAACAAATGTCGGTAACTGCTTCAACTGTATTCTTAAAATTTTGTATGCAGGTGGTTTCGGGAGCTATCTAGCTAGCTATCTAGCTAGGTTCGATTTTCATAAAATGTTGTCTACAAAAAAAACAACGAGCAAAGCTCGGCCATCCAGGTACTACCTACTTAAAAAATAACATACATAACATTATTTATCCTTTATACGCCTTTTATCCCCGAAGGGGTAGGCAGAGGTGTACATTATGCCACTGTACAATGTAACACCCCCTTTTCACTATTTTATGTTATGAGTCCTATGTAATAGGGGGTGAGCCTATTGCTAATATTGCTATATACCGGGCACAGTTCGAAACGACGTGATAATACTGAGATTTTTCGAAAAGGCCCAGTAATACTTTGCCCGACCCGGGAATCGAACCCGAGACCCCTTGCCCGGTAGTCGCAATTTTGCGACCTAAAATTGCGACATGAAAAATAGCTTTGCAATTAATCGCTGAAAGACAGAGATGTTTATAAAATTGCAGTATTCATTTTTCAATAGCTAAATCTTAATGACAAAATCAAATCTGAGTCGTCATGCTCTTGCCGCCCGACCATACGGCGCGTGGCGATCAGCGGGCGCCTCAAAGAGCCATCAGACCACCACGGATGGGGCCCAATAGGGCTGATACCGATACGGAGCCGCGGAGGACTTAACGGGTTACCGGGGCTCCGGCTCGACGTGGAGGAGTAGGAACGGGGTGGTTTTTAGTCAGTAAGAGTCTGACACTCCCTTCCGCTTCACCCAGACGGGAGCAGTCATTCGATGATATTTTCCCCTTAAAAAAAGCCGTAATGCTATCTGTGAATTCAACTCAACTCCCTCTTTCGTCTTATAAAAATAATTCCAAAAATCCCAACAATCATTATGATTAACTCAGGAATCGAACCTTCAACACATTTAGTCAACGTAACAACCACTTAGAATGAAACACGTGTATGACGTCATCCGCTATCTTTGTATACTGCTTACGACAAAGAAAAATATAGCGTGAAGAACACGAAAGTCAAACTTCGATTTTGTAGAATCTGTTATAATTATTTGGGTTCAATAATATGTATATTTTGCCACATAACATAACATCACGCCTTTTTATCTCCGAAGGGGTAGGCCGAGGTGCATATTACGGCACTTAATGCGACTGTACAATGCAACACCCACTTTTCTCTATTTATGTTATGAGTCCCATGTAATAGGGGGTGAGTCTATTGCCATATACCGGGCACAATTCCAGACTCAGAGCTATTACTGAGATTCTTTTAAAAACCCAGCAATACTTTGCTCGATCCGGGAATCGAACCGAATACCCCTTGCCCGACCGACAGTCACACTTGCGACTGTTCGGCCAACGAGGCAGTCGCATCACACAGTCGCAATAATATATTTTAAATTCATCATTAAAATGGTATAAGCCGGTAAACGAGCAGTCGGATCACCTGATGGTAAGCAATCGGCGTCGCCCGTGGACACCTGGAACACCAGAGGCGTTACAAGTGCGTTACCTTTCGGGGATTAGGAATTTAAGGATTTTTGGGGATTTAAGTTTTCAAACGGTTAAGGAAAAACATCGTGAGGAAACGGGCTTATAATTTCTAATTATAAGTCTGTAATCGCCAACCCGCGTGGTGATTAATGCTCAAACCTTCTCCGTGTGAGAAGAGGCTTTGAGCAAAGCTCAGCAGAGGGTATTTAGGCTGTTGATGATGGCGATTCAGGGATTCTCTGCGTCGAATTTTGCGTGCAGCGGGGCGACGGCGACTCACCCCCTATTACTCGGGACTCATGACATAAATAGTGGAAAGTGGGTGTTACATTGTACACGTGGACTTCTGTCTACCCCGAGACTAAAAGCCATTATTTATGACGTTACTACCGTCTGCCCGCGACTTCGTACGCGCAATCCCGTTTTCTCCCATTCCCGTAGGATTTTCAGGATTATTTCTGTCTTAAAAACCTTCTCCTGACTATAACAAACACAAAAAAAAATCAGCAAAATCGGTCTAGCCGTTCTAAAGTTATAGCGTGACAACGGGAAACGGGTTTCATTTTTATACGCTCTGTTCAGCTCCAGTTGGTCGTACCGTGATGTTTTATAGCCTATAGCCATCCTCGATAAATGCGCTATCCAACACAAAAAGAATTATTCAAATCAGACTTGTAGTTACGGAGATTAGCGCGTTCAAACAAATAAACAAACTCTTCCGCTTAATATAATAGTCAGTATGTATAATCTTTATATATATAATTCTTTTGTGAGTGTGTATATCACTGAACTTCTCTCAAACGACTGGACCGATTTTGATGAAATTTTTTATGTGTGTTCAAGGGGATCTGGGAATGGCAGATGGCGCTGCAGTCGATAGGATAAATAACCTAAACAGCTGAACTAATTCGAATGAATTTTTTTTATACATTCAAGTGGATATGCAGGACAACGTCTGTTGGGTCCGCTAATATATGTGTCGCAGAATCAACAAAGATGCACAGCTATCGAGTATCGTTATTTTAGAACAACGCCATCTGTTATCATTTGTCGGAAACGTCAAGCAGTGTGCTTGGGTGATTGTCGGTACGGGGCGTGACATGTTGGCATTTTGAAAGGCGTCACTTTTGAGTTGGACACGAGGGTGAGCGGTTGTTCTGCCAGCCCGTACCGAACTTACCGCGTTTACGAAGAATCCGATGACGAAGTACCCCCAATGGGTGCATTTTCTCCGACATAATTATGTATAAAAAAACATAATTTTCTCTATACAGAACCCTAAAAAAGACTACGAACTTAACGTAATTCTCCGAAAATCACGTTTTACATTGACGCCACAGAATGTATGTCGCATACAACATACACAACACATATATGTTTGTTTTAATACATAAAACATACATACTAATATTACAAATATGAACGTCTGTGTGTCTTTTTGTTTGTCCGTCTTTCACGGCAGAACGGAGCAACGAATCGACGTGATTTTTTTAAGTGTAGATAATTGAAAGGATGGAGACTGACACATCATACTTTCTGTCTCTTATCTTCTCTACTTTCTCTCTCTTATAATTACCTAGTTTGTATTAATATTGATCTTATTTTATGACATGTATTATATTGTATTGTATTGTATTGTATTGGGTATACTTATTGAACAGTGTATCAATGTATTAATGTAGTTGTGTCACATAAATTTTGTCGTTATGAGATCAGTATCTTAGCAACAATTTTAATTGTAATTCGATTTAAGAAATGTGTTGTTTTTTTTTCTTTTTGTACTACTTGTGTTATTAGTTTTAAGCTTTAATTCACACACAATGTAAATTGTTTTTGAAATAAATAAATGTAAATAAATGTAAAAAAAAAATCTTTCTAACCTCCCACTTTTCTAAAATGGGGTGTGGAAGTTTGTATGTAACTGGTCGCCGTTATCAATGTAGAAAATGCCATAAACCTTCATAAGTGTGGGAGAGCCATGTTTCGGCACGAATGCGCCGGCTCGACCGGAGTGATACCACGGCCGAGCAGAAAACCGACGTGAAATAACGCTTGCGTTATGTTTTGTCGTGTGAGTGAGGTTACCGGAGGCCCAATTACCCGTCTTCCTAATCCCCGTCTCCCGAATCCTTCACAATCCTCAAATTCCCAATTCCCAAAAGGCCAGTAACGCACTTGTAACGCCTTGGTGTTTCGAGTGTCCATGGGCGGCGCCGATTGCTTACCATCAGGTGATCCGTCTAATAGCTTACCGGCTTATGCTATAAAAAAAAGAAGGATGAAAATTGGTATGCGAACTATTAGTGAGTAACAAAAAAATTGTTCATCATTTTATTTAACACGTTGAGTACCGTCATTATAGACACAATTAAAGAACAATTGGTTGCGGTCACCGGTGTCCTAGTCCTAGCGGTGTTTGACAGTTTAATCTGCCTTCAGTCGCTTAAAATACATGAGCGGAGACGCGGGCAAAAGCTAATAATACATATAAGTGTAATTAATTATTACAGTCTTATTGTTTTTCAATAACAATTCAGTATTTCAGGCATTCAAAAGCATTGTTAAGCTATTTCTTTTGATATTAGATTTCGATGCGTAATTTCAAAATAAATATTAAATATTTTATGCCTGCCTTATTGGCCGAGTGGTCGCAAGTGCAACTGTTGGGCAAGGGGTCTCGGGTTCGATTCCCGGGTCGGGCAAAGTATTACTGTACACAATAGTAGCACGGAGTCTGGAAATGTGCCCGGTATATGGCAATAGGTTCACCCCCTATTACATGGGACTCGTAACATAAAATAGTGAAAAGTGGGTGTTAGGTACATTGTACAGTGGCATTAAGTGCCGTAATGTGCACCTCTGCCTACCCCTTCGGGGATAAAAAGGCGTGATGTTATGTAATGTTATTAACTGTTTTCGAAAATCTGCAGAGGCCTTAGTACGAGTTTGATTTACGTTTAAAGTATTCGAAACGAGACCGCGTTCGGCGCTCTGATTGGCCGGCCCCAATGAAGCAACCAATCAGAGCGGCGAACGCGTACTCGTAATGATTACTATAAACATAAAAGAAACTCGTACTAAGGCCTCAGTTGTCAGAGACTGCTTTGTCGAATGATTGCAAAAGCGACCGTCGAACTAAAAACTCTGGGTTTCATTGCCGCGTTGGACAAAGTGTAATTAAGTTTTGTTTAGTATTTTGCACGTAGTCTAAAATTTTACCTTTAACTCGTCGAGTACCGGTTTTGTAGACACAATTATAGAACAATAGGTTGCGGTCACCGGTGTCCGCTTGGTGTTTGACAGTTTAATAGGGTAGATGACTAATCTTTATTTTAATGTCCGTCTGGTAGATTATTTCAAATCATTAGACACGTATTTTTTATTTCCTTACAGATACAAATATTTTCGACGATATATTGATTTGAAATGTCGCGTGACGTCACTTCTATGTACATTTTATCTAAATAATGTTTTCTTATACGGCAAAATAAACAAATACGTGTCTAATATTTTTTCATTATCTAACTGAAGGACTAATTATTAGATTTTTAATTTTCATACCCCGTCATCATCCCTATTACACGAGTAAAATTTGTTCCTACATTATACATATAGGCACCTCTGTCTACTCCTTCGGGAATAAGAGGCGTCTTGTTATGTTTATTAAATCCTAAATAACCATTCACTATCACCATCATTCCGCTTTCCAAAAAGGCCTACGCTTAGTCCTCCACGTCAAACGACAACTCACTACCGGCATCCATTGTCTCCCCGCGACTCGGACAATGTCGGTTCACCTTGCAGTACTCTTTTTTGAGGGGGGAAACACATCCAATGACTTCACTCGCCTTGAGTGAGACGATAGAGAGTATCAGACAGAACCTACCTCTAAGAGTAACTAACACTTTTATGAAAACCACATCAAAATTGGCTCAGTCAATCGCAAGATATCGCTCACGAACATACATACATTATTTTTCCTTTTTGGAGATGTTTTTTTTAATGAGACAAACCCGCCACAACCTCCCAAAACCGCTGCAACTCCTGTGCACTAGAATCTACAGTAGATACAACCATGAAAACACTGGAACACTAAACTCCAACGTCCCAGGGACATGAATAACTGTCTTGGTTCCCGCAACGAAGTGAATCAGAAGATATTATAAGAGGAGAAAAAAAAACGATAGTTTCCACTTCCCTCGGTGAATTACTGCAGGAGACAATAAATAAAGAATAAAGACACAAAGAAGAGACTGTACAACTGGGTGCAGTCCAGTCGCCAAGCACCATGGAAATTTGACTAAAAAGTAAGTTGGTCTTATGACCATTGAAGGTGGTTAAAGATAGTAAAGGCTACATGGAAAAACAACATAGAACATAAGAATACGACAGCGAAGAAGGGTAACTCGGTGGCCAGAACCAGACCCGAGCGTATGGCGCTGAGATTTCCACGCGCGCCTCAAAGAGCCATTAATACCACCAGACCACTACAAATGGTGCTCAACGGGGCTGATGCCGATACGGAGCCGCAAAGTCAAAGAATTTATTTCAATTAAACCATAATTTGATACTTTAACACATAAAATCTGACAATCCATAAAAATAGTTCTATACAAGAAAAAGGAAACTCTTTGATTCAATACTATTGATACTATT